CAGAGACGGTTGGGTCGGCTCTGCTTATAAGATCACAGGGCTGTGATAAGGAATCCATTGCACTTGAATTATGCAGCCCAGAGTTGGTTGGGCCAGCACACCCTATTAGGTCCACCCTATTAGGCCCATGGACTATTAGAGGCATGGTGGGGTTTGAATGAACAAATTGGACTGGGCCTAGAAACACCTCCAGATTCACACTGGGCTGGGGTAAAACAGACCCACTGACGCTATGCACAAAGCCAGGAGTAGAGATAAGCCCATCAACTAATCGGTTTTCACAATCTGCAGCAAGGCCGTTGTTGTCTGACATGGTTGTCTCATTCCTCAAGCATGCGTCTCCACTACTTGTCTTCTCCAAGTCCCGAGCCGTCTCCTTTACTACAGAGATAGCCATCAGACTATCATTACCTGACAACTCCTTTTCCTTTAATGCTCCTTGTATACCCACGCCACCGCCAGAGTTCCTTACAGGCTCCACCTCAGCTGTCATTGCCACCTCATCATCTTCTTCCCTGAGGATTACACCATTGTCAACAAAGTGCTCGTCCCCCCTGCTTGCATTAACAGAAGAGGCCTCCTGCATATGAATATTAGAGAAACTTGGGTTTTCAATGACGACTACTTGCTCCTCACAAACTCGGATCTGGTGAAATGTGCCTTTGCAATCCAGAGCAATCACTTGGTTAATGCATTCCATTACTTTGGTTGCTATTTTGACTTTACCACAGCAAAGGTGTGACATATCAAGTGTGCTTCTATCAATCGCAATGACATCACCCCATAGCATGCCAATACTCTTGAAATTGGTAGAGTTCCAGAGATTGAGGGGTACTCCATAACAGCTAATCCATACCTCCCTTTCATGCTCAATGACTGCGTCCTTGGTCCGATGTGTTATGAACTCACACCATTCGTGGGTCCAAAGTTCCAGCTCCTTCCTTGCGCTATGCATTGCCTCTTTTGATTTGAAAGAGAGAATCACTAATTTGCCTCCAATGTCTCTAACATGAGCGTCGGGTCCATGCCTGTTTGACACTTCTATTTTGAAGTCTGATACAAGGCAGAAAGGCTTGAGTTTGGCAACTAGGCTCTCGTGTAGCCACCTATTCCCATATTCCTCAGCTTTAATTACTAACCTTTCGTCCTTTGCAGTCCTTGTACCAGTCACCACATCGGCATAACTTTGTACAGTATTCCGCATACTGGGCATACTGACGTGATTTCTATGAGTCGTATTACCTACGCCTCTCTGCAGCGTCCGCTGCTGCCCATGGTTGCTTTGGGCTTTGCTGAACTCCGCCATCTTTACCTTGATCTCGCGATTGTCACACCAAGTGCCATGCGCCTTTTGAATAGCCACTTTCGCCGCGACTGGACAATTATATCTGACAAAACCAAAGCGTGAGCTTGTTGCCTTTCTCCTCTTGATCGGGATGTAAACATCCATTACTACTCCAAACTTTGAGAACAGTGAGAACAGTCCCTTAGGATCTAAAGTTTCCGGTAGATTATCCACAAAAACGGTGTGAATATCTTGAGATCTCCTGGACACCCTTGCGTTCCTGCGAAATACTGGAATCCATCCATCACCTCTTACCTCCATTTTTAGATTACCATAGCATGCTCTTATTTCGGATGGTTTAATTTTTTACACTGATTTTTTAGTCTGACCGACAGGTTTATACTCTTCTTTTTCATCGTTGGTTTTTGAAATATAGGCTTGTTTAGTGAGAGGGAAAGTTGCCATGGCTAAGAAGGGTTCAGAATGCTCTTAAGTAGTGAATGTGAGTGCACCTCTATATAAAATGGAGTACATGCCACTGTGTGGATCCTATCAACCGTTGTACTGAAAAACATGTATTAAACAATAAACAATGAGATGTTCTATTTAATATTTTTTAATAAAATTAATGTTCTAGATATTTTTTACTTAATATTTCTTAAACAATCATTAAACAATTCGACTTATCAAATGAGACTTGGAGTGGTCTCCATAAGGTACATAGTGGCCCCAAATAATTAAGGGTAAATTATACCAATCATCCTTTTAGTTTGAGCTTTAGTTTGAGCAACTTTGAAATTTAAATTTGAACTAAATGGACGAAAGTGATATTAAAAAATAAAGAAAATTAAAAACATCACCGGTATAATAAATAAATGACATTGATGATCCTTATAATTTCTTTAGAATTTCACTATAATATTTTTAAATTTGCATGTGATATTTTCGGTTTAAAATGGTAGCAACTCATAATAAAGGGACTACCTATATATAATCCTAAAAGATTGGCCTAGTAGGTGCAACTTGGGGTTTAGGGGTGTGCTTCCTCTAGGTTTCAGGTTCAACTCTCATCAGGAATAATCTGCTCCTTAGGACTACGACTGCAAGCTTTGCTTGAGATTTGCCCAATCCACATGGCAGGGACGCTTTGTGTGGGTCTCCGAATTAGTCTAGATGTGTGTAAACTAGTTCGGACACTCGGCGATCAAGAAAAAAAAAAGAAAAAAGAACTACATTACAACAAAATTTAAAGTATAAGGTTCAAATTATTCAAAATACAAGGACTAAAATGACAATTTACTTAAATCAACAAAGATTAATGGTATAATTTATTATTAATTAATCCTAAAATCAATCAGTGTAGCTTTTTAACTATTTAATTATTATTTTATTTTATTTTTGTTGCTATTTTAACTATCTAATTTTTGTTGCTATTGATAGAAAGAAAACGCAATCGCGATTAGGTTGAAAATATCAGCCATAATATTCGATCAATTCATTTGGATTTGGAAAAACTTGGTGCACAACTTACACAAATTAGTATAAATTTATCTCAAAATTTTGTAGTATCAACTATAAAATGCATAACTTCACCATAAATTAGAGTAATAAAAAATGTTGTAATCAAACCATAAACTTTTGTTATATGAATCATAAAATTTTGAACATTTTATTATGTTAATTTGTAACGAGATTATATATTTTATGATCAATATTATAAATTTTTATGATAAAATGATATAATATTTATAATACGGTGTATATGATATGCACAAAGGGGTGGACACCATAGACTTTTTCATCCATTTGATTGAGTTTCCACCATTTTTCTTTAAAAATATTTTATATATTTTATTATATAGCAATGCTATTGAAATAGGATGAAACACGAGCCGGGAGCCGGTTGTATAGCTTATAAGTTAATTTTTATGATTATAATTTTTTAATTACCGACTTAAAAAAAATTTAAACAAATTATAAATATGTTTGGCAGAGATTTTAATAATCTTTAAAAAGAAAGTTGAACTGTTTGGTTAAATAAATTGTTAAATAATTTTTTTTGTGATGCAAAAATATTTAAAATACCCTGAAAAGTTATAATTATGAGATGAAAAATGCTCAATAGTTTGAATTTGTGTGATTTGAATGGTTCAAATGTATCAAAACGACATCGTTTTACCCTCAAAACGATATCGTTTTGAGACTTTCGAGCCATTTGAACCATGAAAATTCGGGCTACCAAACATTGTTATTATGACACAAGGTATGAGACTCTTTTGTTCATATTTTCTTTTTTAGCATGAACTTTTGTAACTCGTTTGAGAATAGATTATTTTAGTAACTTTTTAATTTTTGGCTAAAATATGAGGTAAAATTAGTATGTTTGTGATAACTTTTTTGATTTTTTTTACAAAAAGATGTGCAAAAAATAGAGAGAAAATAGAATCTTTGATTTTTTTTTTTTTTTGGATTGTTAGCTTTTTGATTTTTTTTTGTAACTTTTTAACTTTTTGGCTAAAAAAATCACTTGACAAACGAGGCCTTATTATCCATTAAGTCCTATTTATAAATTTATCAAGTGATAAATTTATCAATTTCTTGTTTTTGTAATCTCTTTGTTTTTATGAATAAATTTATAGTGATAAATTTATTAGTCTCTTATTTTTATAGCGATAAATTTATCAGTTAGGACCTATAAATAAATAAATCTAATTAATATGACTGATTAATAAATACCCTAAAACTTTAGAGTCAACCTCTACAATCTAGTTAATAGGACTGATTGGTAGATGTCCTAAAACTTTGGAGTCAACCACTAGCCCCTAATAGTTTTAAATAGCAGTATTGAAATGCGTATCGATATGGTGATACAATTAAATATCTGTAATATGATCTAGGATCTGAAGATATATCTGTCCGTTTATGAAGAATGTTATAATTACTAATTAGTGTATCAATTGATGATGTGACATAATTTTAGTGTACTAATTAATGTTGTAACATAATTTAAGAAATTTTTTATATTCGTAACATGATTAATGAATAGGACCAATAATAATGTCATAATTAGTATTCGTATACTAATTGGTACATGTAACACCACCAATCAAAAAATAAATGGTACCTGATATCTAAAATACCGATGCGTATGGTATTTACACGCGATCGTTTTATTTTACAAATAGTTGAAGAAGCTGGGAATTATTAATAAATAAGGGTGATGCTGGAGACTCCCAGTGACTAGGCACCCCAGCACTCTCCAGTGCCACATGACACACTGCCAGTGACTGAAGTCCAAAAAAAAAAAAAAAAAATTTTTTTTCCAGCAATCAAAGGACCCCCAGCACCCCCAACTGGGGGTCCAACGCATTTTCCGGATAACAAATATGAATATAAATACAAATTGTGTTTACTAATGGCACAAGCAATGGTTTCAGTCTTGTCTTAATCTCTCAACAGTTTAATGTCATACCAAGAGTTATAATGTCATCAAGGTTTTAAAGATTGGCCAATAGGGAGGTTGCCTAAACCTGTTTGGATTTTTGGCCTTCCGATACCGATACCATCGCTACAAAAATAAAAATAAAATTTATTGCGTATCAATTTTTTTTCAATACAAACAATTCGATTGCTATGATTTTTAAAAATTAAACAATGGTGTCACTTGATTCCCAATCCTAGTCATTCAATATTTCTGATACTATTACATCACGAGTAATATTAATTTGTCTTCTAATATTGTTATTTAAAACGTTACAAGATTTTAAAAATCAACCGTTACATATTGTATTGGCTGGTATCAATATTTTAGACTCTCAATATCTATATTATTTAATATATCGACGAAAATCTTTTAATATTAACCAATATATGACCCTATCATTGATATCGATAGGTATGCCAATATCATTATTTAAAACTATAGTTGTGTGTGATGGAGAGGAAATAATATGGAAGAAGGGCATACCAACTTATCTAATTAAAGTTTGAGAATTAAATTAATAGCTTTTTCTACTTAACTTTATTTTATTTTTGTTATTGTGAAAAAAGGTTTTACAAAGCTTACCAACAGTTGCAGAGCGAAAAGTTGTGGAACCAGCTTGATTATTTTTATTTCCAGTAACAATGGTGGCATCAATTCCATCTCCAATAAACATCAAATTCTTCATGGATCTCTTAATCACAACATTCTCATTATAAACACCGGCTTTTATGTATATGACGAATCTGTTCGTCCCACCGTTTGAAGCCGCCACGGCCTCAGAGATGGTCTTGTAATTGCCAGAACCATCTTGAGCCACCACAATGTCGGCACTTGGCGATGATGACTGAAGCAGTTTCCTGTCAGCTGATGATACCCATTCTGGGAATCCGTCAGCCAACAGGCGTCTGTTTCGTGTCATCTTAGCAAAATTAGATGAAATTGATGATGTTGCCTTGTTTAGTGCTAGTGAATTGCCAAGCAACTTTGACAAGTCACTCAACATGTTAACAGGGAAGGACTCTAAATGAGAAGATAGGTTGAGATCAATGAAACCATTCTTGCATGTTTGTTGGTTGGTGATCGCAGCGCTCAACCATGTTTGAGCGCTGGTTTGGTCTTTGGAGTTGATGGAACGGTTAAGCTGGTAAACCGTGTCATCATAGAGCTCCAAACAATCAGCCCAAGCCAACTTCGCTCGCTTGTCAAATGAGCTCACGTCCATGGACGAGACGAGACTGTAGGCTTGTTGAGCTTGGTTTAGAGTGACTCTAATGGCAGATTTACGCAAATCAAACTGGGTTTCATCTGGGGTTCCTAGAGGTTTGGTGCCAATTAGAGAATTGCATAGTTCAGGGTAGGGGGCTTGGCTACATGGTGACATGGTTGTGGACCCATGTACTAACCCAAATGGCGATGAGACTACATGTACACTCAAAAAAGCTAACACAAGAACAAGTTTGGTATCCATGTATGACCCAAAACAAGTTTATAAACACTTCTTAGATCTCTTCTCTAAGATTTCTGTGATCCACTTATGAGAAAGCATGCTCCTTTTATAGGGAAAATTATTCATTGTTCCGGATCACCGCGTCTTTTTTTGTATCAGCAATATTAGATATGATATCTCACTCATTCGAGTTTACTTTTGAAAAAGTGAAAAAATATAATTTTGGACCCCACTCGTCAGAAATCGACAATTAAAAATAAGCAAAATAAAAAATAACGTGATCGTCCAGTTCAAATCCATGGAATAATTTCTCATTTTATATGCATAAATTGGCTATTATGTGTGCTTTCAACTGTAGCAGCGGTACTACTAGACATTTCAACGCATTTGAGAATGCCATGGGCCATGCAAATGACGCTTACGTTATAAAAGAATCTGACAGTACGAAATAATAGAAATATAAAACAGAAAATATATTTAAATATATATATATATATATATAGACGGTATGATTGAAATTTCTCTTTTAAGTATGACTTACGCTAAACTTAGAATGAATTTCAATCACGATATATTTCTCTGTACTCTAATTCTATATATTTAACATTTGTGTAAAAATAAAAAATTTGGGAGTATAAACTATGTAGTTATTAGCAATGTTACAAACTTAGGAAGAAAAAAAAAAATCTTAGGAAATAATCAAAATTTCAAATCTATGGTCAAGATTCCCTCAAGAATTAATCTCACAATAACTACTTTAAATATAAAACACACAAGTCCTAATTTATGAACTTATACTCCATTAAGACCTCGTTTGGCAAGTGACTTTTTTAGTCAAAAAATAAAAAAGTTACTAAAAAATTAAAAAGCCAACAACTTATATAAAAAAGTCAAACATCCTATTTTTTCTTTACTTTTTGTACATTTTTTCATAAAAAATTAAAAAGTTATTCTAAACATACTAATTTTTTTATTTCATATTTAACTAAAAAATTAAAAATTACAAAAATAATTTATTCCTAAACGAAACCTAAAAAAGTAAATACTAAAACTTTTAACTATGAGACTACGACCCTGTTTGGTAGAGCTGTGGGAAAGTGATTATAACTTATAGCCTAACAGCTTATAACTTATAACTGTGAACATAAGCTGATTTTTGACTTATAAATTAAGTTTACTACGCCAAAATTGGGCTTTAGCAGCGGTTTTTTACCGCCGTTAAAGGCTGTAAAACTGCCGTTAAAGCCTTTAACGGCAGTTTCGTTACCGCCGTTTATGCGCGTGTCAGAAAAAGTACAACCGTCATAAAAAGGTAAATTACCGTCGTTAAAAGTCGACCAAAAACGGTGGTAATATAAGACCAAAAACAGCGGTTCTTTACCGCCATAAATAGGTTCAAATTTTTCAAAAAATAATTCTTTCTTCTTGCACTCCCCAAGTCTTGAACCCTCAACCTCTCATCCACCCACACCAACCACTCTTCATGAAATATATTTCCTAAATAAATATTTAAGTATTACTTTTACTTTATTATAGATGGTCATGTTCAACCCTAGCCGCGCGTGGTCACCACTCACCGGAGCTCGGCCGGAGCTCGACCGACAAAGACCGCCGTCATTAACGGCGGTAATGAGAGGGCTTTAGCGGCGGTTTCATTACCTCCGTTTAAAAATGGCTTTAGTGGCGGTTTTTTAACGACGGTTTCATTACCGCCATTAAAGGGTCATTACCGACGGTTTTGTTAACGGCTGTTACCGCTGTTTTAACGGTAAAACAGTATCATTACCGCCATTATACGCTTTCTAATTTTTTTTGGGTGAATACTTTCTAATATTGGTCCTGTTTAGTAGGACTTATTTTCAGCTTATTTCAGCTTTTAACTTAATTTAAACTTTTTTGATGTGTTTGGTTCAGCTTAACAATATAGCTTATAGTTTTTTATAAGTCAAAAATCAATTTATTCTTTGAGTGGGGGAGGAGATGCCACTACGGCAAAACAAGACATTAACGGCGATTTTTTTAACGGCGGTTTCGTTATCGCCGTTTAAAGATACTGTTAACAGCGGTAACGAAAACCGCCGTTAAAGTATCTCATTAGAAAGTATTCACCCAAAAAAAATTAGAAAGCGTATATATAGTGTCTTCAAAAAATATATAAAACTATTAAAAAGTATGTTTATTTTAATAAAAGTACATTGAATTTAATTAAAAATGTCTTGTACTTTTAAAATTTTTTTTTTTATTTTTTACTTGTTACTGAGAACACTTGTTAACAAGACCCTGAACTTAATAATTGATTAATAAAATAGATAATTTATTATAAAATTAAAAATTTT